TCCGACATTCTTCTTTACAAATCCTCGTTTTGTACTTCTAATTCTTGACCGTTGTTTTGTTTTGATCTCTCCGTTGCGTTTCCGCGTGCGGCACTTCTGAGCGGCGCATGCGCAAAGCCGACCTCATACATCATTCCCCCGGAACTGCTTCCGTTTACAACAGTGAGCGCAAGCTAGATTCAAGTGATTATTACGTTTTGAATATGGATATTTTTCTTACAAAAACACATTGATTCGCTACAAAAGGCCTTTGTTCACCCCCCGGAGCCGTGTGAGAAACTTTTGGACTGAACTTTCTTTTGGACTGAAACAATGCAACACCCGCTGAGTGGCATTAAACAGCTTGAAAGATCAAAGACAATTTTTTAATATAACTCCGACTGGATTCGTCTGAAAGAAGAAAGCCATATACACCTAGGATGCCTTGGGGGTGAGTAAAACGCAGGCTAATTTTCATTTTTGGGTGAACTAACCCTTTAAGTTAAGTTAATTCAGTTTTTTCTTAAGTGTCTTTAATTTCGTTTTTTTCTGCTTTGGACATAAGAGATCGATGATTAAAAATCGGTTATCAGAAACAAACATATAATAATCTGTATTGTATAGATCAAAATATAGGTTGATCTCTTTTTGGATGAAATTAAATAAATTATATTTTTTAAATATTTTGCAAGAAATTAAATTAAAATCAAAATGTGAAAAAATTATTTAGATTTTTTGAATAATTTACTCTGGTATTGATTTTGAAAGATAGGCCTATTTTTTGGGGAAGTGAAAGTGAGCAGGCAGATATCCCGGACAGCTGTTTAGTAGATTTAAAGTCAGATAATTTACAGTGGAACATTCTGATGCAGACATAAATCCAGCAGAGACTGTAGAAGTTTGATATCCTGAAGTTTAAAGGCACCTAAATCTCAGTCTTTTTTAATACATGAGGTGATCTTGATGTTTTCATTTAATGTCAGATTTGTAGTTTTTAATTGCCTTCATTTTGGAAACCGATATTAACTGGTGTATTTTCAGTGCCCTATGTGAATAAAAGCATTGCTGGGAGAAAATATGTCATACGCTGTTAATCTTGAACTGTTTGTCATTGTTTTGATGGTTCTGTCCAAAGCAAAACTTATTATCGCAAATGCAATTAATCGTTCAGCCCTAACTTAACCACTGATTTGTAGTCGTGTCCTCTTTTGGAAGACCAAACAAAGTAGTTTAGCTTTCACAACGAAACACACAGCGGCCTAGCGTGAGCTGAGGCCGGGCTAGAGTGAGCAGAGGCGGCGGGCTTGAGAACGGCGCGGCTGGCGGATTCGACGAAGTAGCGGCAACCACATGTGACGACCCCAGACTGGACTCCGCTTCGTCCACGGTGAACTTTTATAAAGAATATCTCTTTGGATTTGAGACTTTAGTCTTTGCAACTTTACAGATCTTCTTTATGCACCAAGAGCTTGTAACACTCCAAAGAGAAAGGAACAATTGAAATCGCATCATATGACCCCTTTAACCATCTATGCTGGAATGGGAAAGGAACTCTTAAGCTTGGATAAATAGGAATAATTGATCCCAAATGGCAAATTCTTTCATCATTAATTTATTCACTCTCATGTCTTTCAAATGTGCATGAAATGTGCACAGACAAACAGGTCTGTGTTATTTGATCTTTTCCATACAATTAAATGCTGCAAAAATTGGGGTTTCAAGCTTCAGGAAGGATGCAAATAAATAATAAAAGTATCATATAAGTGTTTCTTATGACTACTGTTCTATAAGTCTTATAAAAGTTTGTTTAAAAAAAAAAAGTTTGTTGTTATTTGTTGACCACAAAATCTGCATTAGCTTTTTTATTTTGTGACAAATTATTGTTGTTGTTATTTTTATACAATTACTGACAATTCTAATTTTATTTTTATTTTTAATTCTGTTCTTATATTCACTGCTTTTATTGTGTGTATTGATGCTCTGGCAATATTGTATATATAACAATCCTAAGGTACTATGAAATTGATCATTTAAAAAATTTATTTATTGAATTAATTAAAATTGCATAAAAAGGGTGACCAGCACAAACTTGAATGTTTCTCCTTTTGTATTCTACCGAAGAAAGATTTTTGAATGATATGAGAGTGAGTACATTACAGATTATTCATTTTTAAGTTAACTATTCATTTAAGGCATTTGAAGGTTCAGTTTGATCCTTTTGGTGAAATTTCTGCAACTCATCTCAGCATATCTCTTGAAATATCTGCCAAAATAGCTTGCTTTGCTGGTTTGAAAGGAGAGTGGCACTTGGATCTAATAAAAAGAGAACATTGCATTGATATCATCATGTAAAAGTTGTTGACCTTTGCTTTGATTAAAATCAGTTCTTTTTTCAGTGAAGTGTTTGGCACATCATAGTTCTTTCTCAGTCTGTTTTTTTCTTGCATCATGTGTTATGAAAGTTGCCCACAAACTTGAGTATTACATGTGTACTGTGTAGCATTCTGTGAGGCTGTATGTGTCATCTTGTTTATGTAATATTTATAGAAATGCATGAACGGTAGCCACTCAGGAGGTCAATTCCGGGGGGAAGTTTGTGCTCTGTGGTGTAGTCACAGGGGCACCCGATGACAAAAAAAGAGCTAGACTTTGTAAACCATAGAGCGCCAGTATAAACCTTGAACCCTCTGGTTTCAGAGTTTGAAAGTCCAGAAACTACCTCTGGGCAAAGGGTTAATTCTAACAGATAGGTTTTCTAAAGAATGATCTGCTAGCTGGCTAGCTGTTGGCAGAGATGTGTTTAAGGGGTTTGTTTGGTTGGTAACGCACTGCAGTAAGTTTAAATCGTTACCCAATGCAGTAAATAATGTTATCATAAACTAACCATGAACAAGACTCTTTTAGCATTTTGTTAATCAAGGTGGGGTTTTAATGTCTACACTACCATTCAAAAATTGTTAGTTGGTAAGATTTTTAAAAGAAGTCTCTTATGTTCAACAAGGCTGCATTTATTTGACTAAAAATACTATAGAAACAGTATTATTGTGAAATATTATTGCTATGTAAAATAACTGTTTTCTATTTTAATATATTTTTAAATGTAATTCATTCCTGTGATGGCTTGGAAGTTGAATTTTCAGCAGTCATTACTCCAGCCTCCAGTGTCACATGGTCCTTCAGCAATCATTGTAATATGCTTATTTAGTTCCATTTTTATATTTCTTTAATATTAGTAATATTTTTGTTGAAGCAGTGATACATCTTTTTCAGGATTCTTTGATGAATGTTAAAAAGAACGGCATTTATTAAAATATTTTAACATTATAAATGTCTTTACTCTCACTTGTGATCAATTGAATGCATCCTTGCTGAATATAAATGTGACCCTGGACCACAAAACCAGTCTTAAGTCACTGGGGTATATTTGTAGCAATAGCCAAAAATACATTAAATGGGTCAAAATTATTGATTTTTCTTTTATGCCAAAAATCATTAGGATATTAAGTAAAGATCATGTTCCATGAAGATATTTGGTAAATTTTCTACTGTAAATATTTTAACTTTTTTTTGTAGTGTACATATACTAACACATTTATGTTGTATTCATTCAAGTTAGTTTTTTATTTAAAGTACCAATGATCAATAATGTATTTATACATTAACATTAACGTAATTAATAAATGCTATAAAATGTTGTATATGGTAATTAATTTAATGAATTTAATAAAATAATAATTTAATGTTAATGAATTGAATCTTGTTAAGTGCTTCTGCTTGGTTTTATGTATCATTTGCTGGCTCGTGTCATGTCAGAATCATAATACATAAGTTTTATGTTGGCATGTGAATGTTTTTATACTGTTTGTGATGAATAGCAATAAAGCTTGCCATAATCTACTATATATATATATATGATAATGCTTTTAATATGCACAATGTGCTCTAAAGTGATAAAAAAGCTTTTGGGTTTTATCAGTAAGAGGAAAAAACACATCCTTCACATCACAATGAATGAGATCCAAGAGTAGTTATGTACATGCTTGTATGCGCAGATCCCTGGATGCCCGCCGGTGCCCTGGCCGCACACGCAGACTCGATGGCCATCAGCTGACCCCTCCCCCCAGGATGATGGTGAGAGAGCGGCTTCGGCAGAACATCTCGGCCACCTTCTACCGGCACGGCCTGCTATGCGCCTCCTACCCAGTTCCCATCATTCTCTTCACATCTGCCAGCATCCTGACCTGCTGGTGAGTCTGCAGTCATGATATTGATTCAAACAGGAAGTAATGGGATTGGAGCGAGATTTAAACTAATCAGGGACACAATGGCCAGTAGGCCACAGCTCTGATGGCTTCTCTCAAGGTTGAAGTACTTTATGTACTTCTGTGGGTTAGGAAAAGCAGCTTATCCGTACAAATCTGTGAGTGGGATGTTTTCGGGTGTAAAAGGATGAGAGAGGGCAACAAAGGAAGGAAGTTGGCTTGTGGTCGGTTGTTTTGCACAGTTTGATTCGAATGCAAGATTGTGCCAGGAGGACTGTGTAGCACAAGCACAAAAGTGGAGAACTGAGCTGGAGGAAACGCTTTTCTTTTACCCTCCGTCAGCAAAATGTGAATTAAATCTCTGATGCGTCAAAAACGGGGCAAAATCCATGAGGAAAAGAGTGAGTGTGTGAACATTTCTCTCAGAGAAACAGCCCAGTGTCTACAGCTGCCTGGAGGAACAGAAGTAGGCTTTGTGAAGGTGGCAACTACTTGCCACTATGGACATCTGTGTTCTTTCTCAGCTAGAGAAGAGAAGGTACTGGGCAGTTACACAGAATAGCTTGACTCAGCCTCAAGACAGATAATAAAAGAATATAATGAATTGAACAGAAATTAAGCACACAAAATTATATTGATTTGTCCCTCAGTTTGTATGTACATTAATGCACTTACAATGAACGTCTTCTATGTGCTGCAGTGATGTATTTTTTGAAGAAGTTAGCATTACCCTGGTTCTAAAATATGCTAAAATGCTAACTCGTTTCTAAGTTTTGGCCTACAAAATTCATCATCTCTAAGCTCGCTAAATTCCTTATGTTTGCAGGTATTTTCATATAATAATTGCTTTTTATATTCTCATTCTCATCATTTTAAATTCTCATTGCAGAGAAAGTGTGTGCTCATGGTTGCCAGTTTAAGAAAAATAAGTAAAACAATAGGCAAAAAATGTATCCATTTAAGATTCTTACCTGAAAGGAATATTTAGTTTGATTGTCATCCTTTATAAAACGCTTCTTCACTAAAACAGGCTTATTTAAGCCATGAAAGGAGGATGAGCCATGTTAAGAAAAGCACACTTAAGAGATTCCAGGTGTAATGTATTTTACACAACAACCTTCTGTTTTCATTGATGTCAGCAGTGTCATGTGTTTTAAACCGTATTCTCCTCAGTCTGTGCTCCTCTCTTTAACACTGCTGTTGTGGGTGGGGGATATTCAGGGCTTTTCAAGCACTTTAAAGGGGAGTATCAGATGTTCCTTTTGTGAAAAGTAGGAGCTGGTTTGATCATCCATCTGGAGAGTTTACCAGCCCTCCAGTGTTTGTACTGCAGGCAGTATTGTGGGTCTTGAGCAATCATTTTTCCTAGAAAGTGTAAAATTCTTGTTTTTACTATCCTTAGCTTTTGCAGAGCTTGCCTGAGGATATCACAGATGACAAGTTAATCATACTGATCTGTGCTCCCTCCTGGTGCAGTTTTACATTTTAAGTTCACTCTTGCTGTACCTGTGACTGACTGATTGAATGCTATAAAACTGTCAGTAAAAATGCAAAAAACAACACTTTGCATACTTATCACCCTTTTCATTCATACAGTATATGATTTGTTTTATGGACCTTGTAAGGGCTCTTCATCATGAGAAGGCCATTCCTCCATTTGGAGGTACCGTGTCTTTGAGGAATGCAGTTTGAATTTGAAAAAAAGATTGATTTATTGTTCCATGCTTTAACTATGCTTTCTTTTACAGTTACCCTCTGCTGAAGCTGCCTCTTCCAGGAACAGGGCCTGTCGAGTTCACCACTGGAGTACGAGATTACTCGATCCCATCCCATGAGTCTCAGGGTGACCTGTCTGAGCGCCCTGATTGGGTAAAATTAAATGCTTTTGTTTGATATACAACAGGGGTCGGCAACCTTTTCGGCATGACGTGCCATTTTACATTTTTCTGGTTAACCACTGTGCCAATACCCCCCCCCTTAATGCATTCTGTACATAAACATTTTTAAAAGATACGATAAAAAACAATAGGCCTTTTTGATTTTCATGAAAATGGTTTCTGAAGATTTTTTTCATAAATAGTTTTTTTAACTTTTCAAAAGTTTCTTGAATAACAGATATACAGTGTGACTGTACTGAACACCACTGTATGTGTGTGTGTGACAAGGCCAATGCATTAAAACAGTTCAGTTTAATCACCATTCTATATTAATGTGCTGCTTTAATTGATGCGCGTGCACACACACACGCCACTCGCACACAGAGATCTGAGATCGCGCTGTGCAAAAAGTAACATTCAGAAGCTCATAAACTTGTTGTCAGCGCTGCCATGCGATTTTTATTAATCGATACTGAATCGCTACATTATATTTCTCAGCAACGAGGGGGGTCAATTCGCTGTTTAAGTAACTAAACTCAGCTTCATTGTTTGTAGAGAGAGAGACAGACGCAGACAATTTACACATCTCTCTCTCTCTCTCTCTCTCTCAAAATGGCCATATTTGAGAAAAAAAATCGAGTATCGATTGCATCACTGAATATAGCTGTCAGTCATTTAATATTTCTATCGTAAAACGAATTGTTAAAAGTTGACTAATATTAAATGATTTGCAGCTTCATCTTACTTCGTTCTCTTTAACGTTAAACTGACGCTTCGCACTCTGCTTCTGTGAACAGTAAACCCCGCCTACTTTGATTTGATATCTCTGTCATTTTGACATTGAAGAGCGCTGTTAGAAGCTGTTAGACCTCTGAGGCTTTGATCTGAAGCGCCTAGTATGACAGTGACAGTCCCCCCCCCCTACAATCCCTGCCGGACCTGAGACTCGAACCTGCATCCTTTGGGTTACGAGTCCGACTCTCTAACTATTAGGCCACGACTTTTTTCAACATTAATAATAATAATAGTAAATATTACTTGAGCACCAAATAAGCATATCAGAATGATTCCCGAAGGATCATGTGACACTGCAGTTAAAAATTGTTAAAATTGTTTTTACTTTATTATTATTATTATTATTTATTTTATTATTATTTTTTTTTTTAAATAAATACAGCCTTGGTGAACATTAAAAAAAATAAAAATAAAAAATCTTACCGACACCAAACGTTTGAATGGTAGTTTTCAATATAAAAATTTTTAAGTATGTTGCCTTTCTGTGGAATTATTGTCGTGTTGCCAAGGCAGACATTGGTTAGAGATTGTAAACCTTGCAAATGCTCGATGTGCAGCTTGTCCTACACTGTTACAGACATGAATAAGGCATCGAATCATGTTGAAAAAAGGTGTATTGTTATTTTTCTTATCTATCAGACCTAAAAAGACAATTTCACCTGGTGGACAAAGACCATTCAAAAAAATTCCTATTGCCTTGCAATGAAAAGTTACATCTACACTTGTGGCCAGCAAACAACCACCTGCAACACTTCAGCATCATGGAATTAGCTTGGTCAAGCACCACTAAAAAAATGTAAAAGTCTAGATTCTTTTGAAGACCTGATACTATTAATCTAAAAATGCTGCTTTTCTTGCAGTATCGGGGTCCTCCGGTGGCCTACATCCAGCAGGTCTTGGTCAAGGCAGCGGTATCACCATGGGACAACAGTCTGGTTCCTGTGGACGTGTTCCGCTCTCCCCTTGGGCGCGTTTTCAGTGTTCTGGAGGAGATCAGAAACCACGTTTACACAGACAGGTCTAAGATTCCCACCCTGACTTATTAGCTTATGCTGATTGATTTCAAACCATTTATGTTCGTGCTTGCTACCACACATTTCTCAACCTCATTCTTTCCATTTTTCCTCACGTCTCTCTTCTTAGAAGTTTGGAGGCACTGTGCTTGCAGGTGACGGACCTGTTGCCAGGGTTGCGGCGCATGCAGGCAGTCCTTCCAGAGCATGGCTGCCTGCTGGTATCCCCTGGCAACTATTGGCAGAATCGGCGTGACCTGTTTGATGCAGATCCAGACCTCCTGAAGACAGTCCACCAACATGAACCCAAAGGCCTTCATACTTCAGCCACTCTGAAAGGCAGGAATCTGCTTAAATGCAATTTAATCTCTGCTCATATTAAAAGTTGCCCACTCAACCTGTGCACTCACTGGCCCCATTTTTGATTTTTAGATTTACTCTTTGGTGTCCCAGGGAAGCAGACAGGTGTAAGCCTGTACAACAAGAAGAGAGTGGTGACATACACCATCACAATTGCACTAAGCTCCTATGATGCGAGGTCAGCCTTTGTAATATTTGGAATTAATTGTGGTTTCAAAGACAGGCGTTACATTTTCTAGATATTGTAAAAATCTAATTTTGGTTCTAATATTGTTTATAGCGAACCAATCATAGTTTCCAAAAATGTTTAACATCTCCTCTCTCTGTGTGTGTGTGTGTGTGTGTGTGTGTGTGTGTGTGTGAGATTTTGGACAGGTTTGTAGCCAGTCTTCGAGCCCGCCTGAAACAGCTTCATCCTTCAGCGAACTGCACTCTGCGGGAAGACCACATGGTGCACGTCCATTTCAAAGAGGAGATAGGCATCGCTGAGCTCATCCCTCTAGTCACCACCTACATCATCCTCTTTGCTTATATCTACTTCTCCACCCGTAAGTGTCATTTCTATACATTTTCTGTGTCATTCATTTTGTTCCTGGTCAGTACAAATTTTTTTAGGGAATTAATCATTTTATTTAGCAAGGATGCTTTAAATCGATCATTAAAATGAGAGTAAAGACTTTTATCATGTTAAAATTTATTTATATTTCAAATAAATGGTGGTCTTTTTGACTTTCATTAAAGAATCCTGAAAAAAAATTATCATTAATTCCAGAAAAATATAAATCGGCACAACAGTTTCAACATTAATATTAATAATAAGAAATGTTTTTGAGCTCCAAATCAGCATATCTGAATGATATTTGAATGATTTCTGAAGAATCATGTGACACTGAAGATGGGAGTAATGGCTGCTGAAAATTAAGCATTGGCATAAATTACATTTTAAAATAACTTATTTTATTGCAATTTAAAATAACTGTTTTCTATATTAATATATTTCTCAAAATTATTTCTAATGTATTTTTTATCAAATAAATGCTGCTAAAATTTAGCTTTGCTAATCTAATCTTCAAATTTTGAAGATTTGCTAATCTTAAAAAAATATATATGTTTTTAATATATTCAAATAAAAAATATTTTAAAGTGTAATAATATTTCATGAAATTACTGTATTTTGATATATAAATAAATAAATAAATATATATATATATATATATATATATATGGCACTTGCTTCTATATGTATTTATGTAATGCTATGACTATACTATAATACTTTTTGGATATTTCTGTATTTTGTTTGTGTTATCTTTGCCTTTACTTACTGGTTGCAATATGCAATATATAACCATTATTTATATATATATATATATATATATATATAAGCTTAAGAAATATTACCAAACACCAAACTTTTGAACTGTAGTGCACATGTATTTTTTCCTGGTTTTGTGTTACAAACTTCCTGGTTGTGGACTATAATGTGTTGCCATGTATTTTTTCCTGGTTTTGTGTTACAAACTTCCTGGTTGTGGACTATAATGTGTTGCAGCTGTACATTCTGACCTTGGAGTTAGAACAGAGTATCATACTGTGTCTGTGATTTTTAAACAATAGGTGATGTTCTCTTAACATGTTTGTAGAAGATTCCAGAAATATTTTATTTAAAGGGCCACATATTTTCAGGAAGTATCTGATGTGCATTTAGTTTCTGTAACCTTCACGGTGAAGATATTTGCACAGATCAACAAACCAGTGTAAGAGAGTTTTGGGCCACTTGCCAGAACTATCAACAGTGCTTATATTCTTATGTTGGATGATTATATGCACACATCTCTGTTTATGTCTCGAAAACATTTGGTTTTGTGTGATGTATTGAAAATTGTTGTAAATTCTGTAGTGAATTATGCTAGTGTAAAATTATTGAGCCTTGATTTGTGTCCATTACTCTTATTATATTCATGGGAATGGCACAGTCAAAATTATTGTAGATATAGTGCTTGCCAGAAATGGGAATATTCATAGTGTTTTCTGCTGCTCTCTCTACTGTTCTTTCTCTATTAATCATTCCATAGATTAAAAAAAATATTAGGAAGTAACATGACAGAGTGATGAAACTGGACATTTTTCCAGGTGCCTCTGGGAAAAGCAGTAAATTGGCAGCAGAAAGCTTTCAGATTAACATAGCTGTTTGGTTCCTGACTGAGCTTTCGCCAAAGGTTGTTTCAGTCTGGCCTGGTGATTATCCACAGAACAGCACGTTCAGCATCAAGAATTCACATACCCTCTTTCCAGCAGCATTTTGTATGGATGTTCAATAGTTCAATGACGTTTTTTGTAAAATGCTCTTGACAAAAATAATCCTGCCTCTCACTTCACAGGAAAGATTGACATGGTGAAATCCAAATGGGGCTTGGCGCTGGCTGCTGTGGTGACGGTTCTCAGCTCTTTGCTCATGTCTGTGGGACTCTGCACCTTGTTTGGCCTGACGCCCACGCTGAACGGAGGGTAGGAGCTCAGCCAAATCACACCTTCATTCATACCATTAGAATGATTCTGTGCATCAGTATCACAGGGCTTCCATAGACTTAATCCCTCAGGAATTAAAATGTCACTGTTTGATCTCTGAGCAGGTTGATGTATAACCAGACGTCAATAATAATGATAGCAGTTTAGGGGAATTATATTGCCAGGAAGTGTTTGAGTGGGCAGGGATAGTTGTTCGCTAGCCTATAAAGTTGCATGTATGGAGCTCAAGCTGTCCAAACAAATTTGACTTGGTTCACTAGGACAGGCTGCAGTCAATACATACACACTATCTAGGCCACATGTGTACTCCATGTTGATCCAAGATACAACAGGGCTACGGAAAGTCAAGTCTTCAGCTAATGACAGAACGCTAGAGTGAATTTTTCTGTTAGGATTTTATCATCAATAATGAGCTAGCTCCTCACGTTCCTCACGTACATTTATTTTTTCACAGTAGCATATTTTTTTCACAACAGACATTATTTAAACAATTTTCTTTCTGGTTAGTTTTGTTTGATTTTCAAAGGGTTATTTGTTTTGTCTGCTGCTGTTCTGCAGGGAAATCTTCCCTTACCTTGTGGTGGTAATTGGTTTGGAAAATGTCCTTGTCCTCACCAAGTCTGTTGTTTCAACGCCTGTCGACCTTGAAGTCAAGCTGCGTATTGCTCAAGGTCAGAGATGATGCAATCATCTGCACTGTTAAAATATGTGCACTGAATTTTTCTGTCCTTTTTTTAATAGAAGTACAGCCCATTCAGTACTAAGCATTTAGTCTTACTGTTGTGTAGTGACACAACATATAAAGTTTTTTATAATATATTAATTTATTTTTTACCACTAAACTATTTGCAGATTAGGTTTAAAAACTATATATAAAAATATAGAATGTCAAAATTGCTACATATTTTTGAAAAATACTGCTTTGAACATTTTATTTATTGTAGGTAACTTTCACAGACCTAAAAAAAAAACAAAAAATTCAAAAATAAATCTTTTTCCATAAAGTCCTTAGCAACCTCTTGTGCAGTTTGAAATTTTTTGAAAGTATGGGATGGGAAACTTAGACCAAATTAAATGTCACCTACTCTGGCAAAGCTCTTTATTTTCTTTTTTTTTGGTTCTGTCTTAAGGTCTAAGCAATGAGAGCTGGTCCATCATGAAGAATATGGCCACTGAACTGTGCATAATCCTCATTGGATACTTCACATTTGTGCCAGCAATTCAGGTGAAGCTCTTGTAAATAACTGAAATATATGATCTGCTTTTGGTGGTAGTTGTACAGTTCCCCGATTGCAAACACTTTACACTTCCCTCTTTTTCTTATGTGTGTAGGAGTTCTGTCTGTTTGCTGTGGTCGGTCTGGTGTCGGACTTCTTCCTGCAGATGTTTTTCTTCACCACTGTGCTGTCTATTGACATCCGCCGCATGGAGGTGCGAACCACCCACACAGAGAACATTCTGGAAAATTTATTTTACAGTTCCGCAAGAAATACATGAATCATTCATTGCTTCATTTGAGTATCTGGAATGTTCATTTTTATTGTATCGCCTTCCCCAACTCTCACGTCTCTATATAAACAGTTGGCTGACCTGAACAGGCGTCTCCCAGCTGAAGCGGGGATGCCTCCACCTAAACCAGGCCCTTTACGTCCACGAGAGATGCCTCCGCCACCCCGCCCTTCTCCCCACACCATCACCCTGCAGGCTCCTGCGTTCCGGAACCTCCGCTTGCCCAAGAGGCTCAGGGTGGTGTACTTCCTAGCCCGCACTCGCCTGGCACAGAGAATCATCATGGTAAAAATTACACCCTTCAAAGATTCATTGCGACATTTTGAGCTGGTAGCCAGCGCCAATCACAATTGCAATATTAAGAATAAATAATTAATAATGGCCAATAATCTTTAAATAAATAATTTAAAGAAATTAATACTTTTATTCATCCATGTCAGCATTAAATTGATAAAGTAACAGTACCATAAAGACATTTATAATGTTCCAGAATATTTCTATTTCAAATAAATTCTGTTCTTTTGAACTTCCTATCCATCTAAGAATCCTGAAAAATATTAAGCAGTACAACTGTTTTCAAAATTGATAATAAAAAGAAACATTATTATCAATAATCAATAATAAGGCTGTAGTAATGGCTGCTGAAAATTCAGCTTTGCATCACAGGAATAAATTACTTTAAAATATTAAAATAGAAAACAGTTATTTTAAGGTGTAATTTGATTATTTCTGTTTTTGCTGTATTATTAATCAAATAAATGTAGCCTTTGTAAGCAAAGAGACTTCTTTTAAAAACATTAAAAGTCTTACTGAACCCAAACTTTTGAACAGTCTAAATCAGGGCTGTCCAAACTCGGTCCTGGAGGGCCGGTGTCCTGCAGAGTTTAGCTCCAACCCTAATTAAACACACCTGAACCAGCTAATCAAGCTCTTACTAGGCATAGAAACTTCCAGTCAGGTGTGTTGAGCAAGTTGGAGCTAAACTCTGCAGGACACCGGCCCTCCAGGACCGAGTTTGGACAGCCCTGGTCTAAATTAAATAAATGTAAAAAAGAAAAGAAAGAAAGCATAAAAGCATGTTTTATTTTATCTGAATGTGTTGTCCATTTATTTAATAGGTTGGCACTGTGATCTGGATTGGGATCTTGGTCTACACGGACCCTGCTGGTCTGAGGACTTTGCTTGCTGCTCAGGTGTCAGAGCAGAGCCCTCTTGGGGAGGCGGGGCTTCCTCCTCACCTGGGCGTTGCTCCAGTGCTTCCTGGTGGAGACCCAACCAGTACACTGAGCGTGCTTCCTGCCCCTGAACCCACTCCTCTACCCGAAAACCAATCCCAGGGTCACCGAGCAGCCCGCCCAGAAGTTGTCCCTGTGTCCAGCCCCCAGATCACTTGGGGCCCTGAGGATGAGGAGCTATGGAGGCGGCTTTCTTTCCGCCACTGGCCCTCACTCTTTAGCTATTACAATATCACTCTTGCAAAGAGGTGGGCTACTCTCTCATTTCTTGATAGATGATATGGTTTTGACCCTTTCTTATTTCTTATTTCTAAAATCTTATTTTGTCTTTTGTGTAACATACTTATGCCCCTGTCTGTTGCCCTCAGGTACATCAGCATTCTTCCAGTCATCCCCGTCACGCTCCATCTAAGCCCACAAGAGGCCATAGACACACGCCATCCCCAGGATACACACCACGCTCCTCCTCCCAGCATCAAGACCTCCGATCTACAGGCAGACCTCACACTCTACAAGTCAGTGTCACACTTCAGCTGTTTGGGTGTTCTACCTGCTTTTATAAATGTCACTAATTCAGTTTGAATTATTATAATAAATTAACCATAGCATGGGCAACAATGCACCAGATGTTTAAGAAATTAAGCCACAAAGATACATTACTACTTTCCTATTGTTTTTGTTTATTTAATTTTATTTATTTATTTATTTGATTTCATTTAAAAGTTTGGGGTCTGTAGGATTTCTTTTAATGTTTATGAGAAGTCTCTTATGTTCATCAAAGCTCATTTATTTCACCAAAAATACTGTAAAAACATACATTTTGATAAATATGTTAAAATACTAATCAGTTATTTTAAATTATAATAATATTTTGAAATGTAATTTATTGTTGTGACGGTAAAGCAGGATTTTCATCAGCCATTACTCCAGTCTTCAGTTGGCTGCTGAAAATTCAGCTTTGCATCACAGGAATAAATTACTTTAAAATATTAAAATAGAAAACAGTTATTTTAAGGTGTAATTTGATTATTTCTGTTTTTGCTGTATTATTAATCAAATAAATGTAGCCTTTGTAAGCAAAGAGACTTCTTTTAAAAACATTAAAAGTCTTACTGAACCCAAACTTTTGAACAGTCTAAATCAGGGCTGTCCAAACTCGGTCCTGGAGGGCCGGTGTCCTGCAGAGTTTAGCTCCAACTTGCTCAACACACCTGACTGGAAGTTTCTATGCCTAGTAAGAGCTTGATTAGCTGGTTCAGGTGTGTTTAATTAGGGTTGGAGCTAAACTCTGCAGGACACCGG